CCTCTGCCCTAGCTAGGTGGCTTGGTTGGCTGGAGTGTTGTCCCATACACCAAAAGATTTAGACTTCGGGTTTGATTCCCAGTTGAGTACCTCTCCCTCTATCCCCCTCCCCATCTCTCTTCTTCTCCCTTGTTCTCTCCTTTTCTCTCTAAATCAATAAAAATATGTCCTTGGGTGAGGATTAAAAAAATTGGCTCCACTTCTAATTATGAAAGTGACCCTGATGTATCCCCCTAAAATTTAGGAAATGACAAAAGCAAAAAGAAGAAAGTGAACATCACTTTATTCACCATCTAAAGATAATCACTCTTACTTATGGTATATATTCTAGCTCTTCATACAAACACATCTGTTCACCCATATATACATAACTTTATTTTTTTTTAAAAGAGGAGTTTTGAAATTTGTGAACACAATGCAATGCCTTTGGTTCTCATCATAGCATCTGAGATAGGTTTTATTGATTTTAGAGAGGGAAGGAGGAAGGGAGAAAGGGAGGAAAGGAGAGAGAGAGAGAGAGAGAGAGAGAGAGAGAGAGAGAGAGAGAGAGAGATTGATGTGAGAGAGAAACATCAGGAACCTTTTGGTGTATGGGACAACACTCCAACCAACTGAACCACCCGGCCAGGCCACCCTCTCTGTTTTTGAGGTCTCATGTGATTAGATTGGCTTCAGATAATTCAAAATAACCCAAATAATCTAGAGTAGTGTTCTTATTTCCAAGGTGCTTAATTTAATCAAATCTGCAAGGCCTCCTTGCCATGTAAGGTAATCTATTTACCAGAAATACTTATGTAGAAAAGCTTCCTGATTGCAATCTGGCTCCCCTTTAGCATCTGGAAAGTTCTTTAACTCTCAGCAATTTAATAGTCACAGGAGTCTGCATAAAGAAGGGGCTAAGTTTAGCTCCTCACTTCATTAGCATCAAGATAAATTCACATCTGTTCATGAATTAAACCCCTTGGACCCTTTGTTAAGAACGCCTATTTTGCCCCGTCATTTGTGATGGCTTCCTAGTGATCTACTAGTATATTATGAATGTACAATAATGTGTTTAGCCATGTGCCTTCTATTGAATACTGCTCAGGATAAAAACCCTTCTAGGTAAATCTCTGCCTATTTTCCTGGTTCTTTCTTTAGGATAAATTCCTGTAAGTGGATCAAAGGGCATTCCAAATATTACAATTTTAGATCTGTTAGGAATATTTAAGTCCCATTTCACAAATACAGAAAGCGAGGGCGGAGTGGTTTATAGATATGGCTTTTTTTTTTTTTTTTTTTTTAAGAAAGGGAGAAGCCCCCCCCCCCCCCCCTTTTTATTGATTTTTTTACAGAGAGGAAGGGAGAGAGATATAGAGCTAGAAACGTCGGTGAGAGAGAAACATCGACCAGCTGCCTCTTGCACACTCCCTACCGAGGATGTGCCCGCAACCAACGTACATGCCCTTGACCGGAATCCAACCTGGGACTTTTCAGTCCGCAGACCGATGCTCTACCACTGAGCCAAACCGGCTTCGGCCAGATATGGCTCTTTAAACTCCCCGTTGTTGGCCCTGAATCGTGCTATCATTCTTAGTCTACCACCTGGCTGCTGGAAACATTTGTCACTGTAAAAGCTTTTGCTTCCAGAATGACTCCATTTTATGAAACGCTGGGGCTGCTTCCCTCCATTCCCCAGCCTTGCCACATTCATTGAGGTCCAGCTCACATTGTTCTTGCTGCACTTGTGCTGCATGGTCTATTTGTCATAAGCCTTTTAGTTTGACACAGGACAGCTGTTAGGTATTTTGTGTTTAACTTCTCAGAAGATATCAGGAGTAGTACGTCTAGCACACGAGGAGGGGCGGAATAAATTGATGATTGTTGAATGGTATTGAATAGTTACAACAATCCTGCAACTCTGGAGGACTGGCTATGTTTCAGAAAGTTCGTGATCAAGCTTGTGCTCCTAACATTTATGGTTCCAGATGGAAATGGCTGTAGACTTTTGAGAGGTCTATGGCTGTTCTAAACCTGACAGCTATAGAGTTTTGTTATAAAGTTTGTTGGATTTTGTGTGGAAGTTAGGAAATCAGCAAGAAAAGAAATAGCTGGCTGGCCTCCAATGCTCACCTTTCTCTTCCCTGACAAGTGAGTCCTAAGTTAAACTAATGCAATGTTTATTGAATGCCTACAAGGCTGAACTTCTATGAGGAATCCTAGTTAAGTGAATAACATTATAAGGTTAGACTCTGATCTACATCACACTATTATATGTTTAGTTTTATATATCATAATAAGGTGTGTTGAGGAAGCTGTTTAAAATAGTGGAAAAGAGTGACTGACAGGCAGGGATAAGCTCTGCCTTTTACTTACCCTGTTTCCACGAAAATAAGACAGTGTCTTATATTAATTTTTGCTCCCAAAGATGCGCTAGGTCTTATTTTCAGGGGATGTCTTATTTTTCCATGAAGAAGAATACCGTACACATTTATTGTTAAATGAAAATAAAGGAAATTTATTACCTGTATATGGTACGGTAGTACGGTAGTTGTCAACACAAACCAGACAAACTGTGAATCCTATAGTATCGAGAATTTACTCATTTATTCAATGACAATCATGTCATCATCTTCTGGAACATCATCATAACAATCCAATTCTTGAATTTCCTGGTGAATTTCTTGTGACTCCATTTCTTTCAGAATCGGTGGACCAAATCTCTCATGTTTAGCCTAGAGGGCCTTATTTTCGGGGGGATGCCTTATATTTCACTCAGAAGGAAACCTGTAAGTAGGTCTTATTTTCAGAGGATGTCTTATTTTCAGGGAAACACGGTAGTTGTGTGTGTTAACCAATGGGGCTGTGTTCTGGCCATCAAACCACACTAACCATGCTTTGCTAAAGTGGAATTCAAAATCTACCAACAGAAGCATCCACACTTACTATCTTCCTATATTCCTATATTGCCTGTTGATACATTTAGGAAAATGCTGTTCAAAAAAAATTTCATAATACTACATATTTAATTTCTGTAAAATGTTAAATATTTTTAGATAATTAGGTGTTCTCAGATAATGCTTTTTGGACTGAGTGGTCTGGGGTGACATTTGTTTTAAAATGATTTAAAATACCCTAACCTACATTTTGGTGCTCAGAGCGGGGGAAACTATGGCATTTGGAAAATGGTAGTCTCTTGTTTATCTCCGTAAAGACATCTGCTGAGAGTAGGCTGCAAGAAAGCCGCCTGGTTCACCGTGAAATACTTTTTGTTTTATTTGCTAATCCTCACCTGAGGATATTTTTTCCCATTGATTTTTTTTTTAGAGTGTGGAGGAAAGAGGAGTGGAAAGAGGAAGAGAGAGATTGATCTGTTGCTTCCCACACCCGCCCAGATACCAGCATCAAATCCTACTACGGATCAAACCTGAGACCCATCTGTGGGAGGACCTGTTTTCTAATTACAGGCCGGGGCCAAGCAGCAGGGGCCAGGGCTACTTATCGAACCTCTTTTATATTGCTCAATTTCATTTAAACAGGAAGATAAGAAAACAAAACAAGGCCTCTCACAGTTCTAAATTCATTTCCCTATCTCAGTGATTTTCAACCTTTTTCATCTCACGGCACACATAAACTCAACAACTAAAATTCTGCACACACCAAAAGGTATTATATATATATATATATATTTTTTTTTCCGATCTGACAAAAATAGGTATAATTTTGATTTATTCACACTGACAGCTGTCGTTGTGTTGGCTGCTGTTATTTTATTAATTAATTAATTAATTAGTTTATTTCGACAATCGTAGGGAAAAGAGGTCCGTGGTCCTGACTAGTCAGGTATTGCATGTTTTAAAAATTCTTGCTGCACACGGATTGGAAATCGCTGCCCTAAATGTTTGTAATCATGTTACATTCCTTCCCAGCTACTATAAACAGCTGCCAACGTGACCCATGCTCTTGAAAAAAAAAAAGTGTATTTATTACAAATATATTACAGTCAAAACAGAAGGGGGGGGGTGTATCCGTATTTAATCTGTCTGGAGCATTACTTTGGCTCAGATAAAAACCCCGTCTTTGCTTTCCTAGCCCACGTAGCATTGCCATTTTCGTGACTATCCGTAGGCACAACACAAAATAGCAAAAACATGTCAGCATGCTGCTTTGTTCGCTGCTGCAACAGGCATACAATTTACTGAGGCTGGGCTGCAAGGTGCGATTTCGCGGTGCTGGGAGGTGGGGGGTGGGGGTGGGGGAGTGGGGGGGTCGGGGGGTGGGGAGCCCAGCTTGGGGAACTGCATGTCTTCTAGCTTCAGATCGTGGATTCTCCTTGAGGTCAGGAAAGGGCTAAGCGTCCCCGTGGCCACCATCAGGGACTGATGTGACCCGGCGTCACGTGGGGGAGAGTTAAGAACCGCTAGTCTGGTGTGACTGAAAGCCTCGGAAGGGAGGGGGTGTGGGGAGATGGATGGCAGCGGGATGGGCGCCGGATGAGACCCGGGAAAAGGAGGGGGGCTCTGCCAAAACCGGTTAGAGAGTCAGCCTGCGGACTGAAGGGTCCCAGGTTCGATTTCGGTCAAGGGCACATCCCCAGTGGGGGCTGTGCAAGAGGCAGCTGATCCATGATTCTCTCATGGATGTTTCTGGCTCTCTATCCCTCTCTCTTCCTCTCTGTGAAAAATCAATAAAATATATTAAAAAAGAAAAGAAAAGGAGGGATCTCCCGCTGGAAGCCTGCAGGAGGGTGATTTGTGCTGAGTGGCCTGGCAACCCGTTTGGTTCGGTTGGGCGTCAGCTGCAGGGGCCCGCAGGGCACGCGCGACACCCCCTCCAGCTTCTCGGCGCAGACCCCCCGCCCCGCCACGCCGGAGCGCGCTCCCCCCGCGCCCATGCGCGCTCCCCCCGCGCCCATGCGCGCTCCCCACCCCCTGACGCGCGTGCGCCGCCCTCTCCCCGGTGCGCGCTCCCCCGCGGCCGGAGCGTGCGGTGGGCGGGGCGCCGCGCTGACGTTGCCCGGGATGCGGGAAGGTTCCCCCGCCGCCGCTGCTGCCGCCGCCGCCTCTGCGTCGCCTGCCAGCCGGGTGTCTATGAAAACACCCGGTGGCGGGCGGCGAGGGACCCGCCGTGCGTCCAGCGAGCAGCCACCGGCCCTGCCTGCGCCGAGCCAGCCCGGGGGTGCGGCTCTGCCCCCTCGCTGCCAGCTGCCCCTCCTCAGCCCGCGGTGAGCGCCCCGCCGCCGCCCCCGTCGCCGTCCGCGCGTCCGGCCGGCCGGCCGACCCTCAGTGTGCCCCCCTGCTCTCCCCGAGCCGCGGCGTCCCCATGGGGGCGGGGGAAGCGGGAGGAGGAGGGCGAGGCCCGGGCCCGCTGCTGTCGGCGCCCGGGGACCCTCACCTGACAGCTTGTGTAACGCGTGTCTGCGGGGAGGTGGCGGGCCGGATCTTGAGGGAAATCTCCCTTGATGGGCTGGATGGAGGTTTGGCTGTTCATGGAACACGCTCTCTCCCGCTTTCCCACCGAGGAACACCTGATCGACCTCCCTCCCCCATCCCCGCGGAGTAGAGGGGATCCCCCCCCCCCCCCCCCCCGTGCCCTGCCCTTTTCTCCACTCGCCCCGGCGCAGGGCAGAGCCCAGAGGGGTGGCGGGCGGGAGGCCGGGGGTGGGGGGTGGGGGTAGGGGTGGCGGGTGAGGGTGCGGGCCCTGCTTCTCCATCCGCTCCGGTACCCAGCCCAGCCCTCCGCTCCTCGGTGTGCAGAGCAGCGGGGTGGGTGTGGTGTGACACCTGCGGTGGCTGGCTTTGCTTCCTCGCAAAAGGGCGTTTTGGCCTGAAGTGTGTGTGCTCTCTGTTTACAACGTGTGGCCCTGGGTGGGTTTGATTTGAACCTGAATCAGATCGCCCCAGATGACAGTGCAGAGTTTCCCCACAGCCTGCCTTCCTTCCTGAGTTGCGGGTTCTTAACTGCAAGTATTCAATTCAAGGACTTCTGCAATCCCTTACGCAAGGCTTGCTTGTTTCCCCCTTCCCTGTGTGTCCTTTAAGCCTATTAGTGCCAGTGTAGCTTTGAATCCCTTGGTTTCCTTTCCTGGGCATTGCCCAGGATAGAATGGAGTTTTAATACGTCTTAGTGTGCTCCATGTGAATGTTGGTAACTGCAAGGCCATTTATTTTCTTTTTTTTCCTTTTAAGATAGCTTGCTCGAGTGTCTGAAGGTCTGGCACTGCTGATGACCTATTACGTTTTTAACACGTTGGCATTTTCTTTGGCGATTTTAATTCTGGGTGGATATATATATTTTTTTCCTTTAGGTATTCGGAATTGCAGCACTGTTTGCACTGCATGGCAATTTGTAGTTGATAGGACTTGAGCAGTTTCTTGATCACTCATGTTAACTTCTCTTTTGTGCCCGTATTGTAATCTCTGTGTAAATTGAGTTATCAACTCTAACTTTTGCATTCTTCTTCCTAAATTGTCTTTTTTCCCTTGGAAAACCAGAAAGTTATTTTTGTAATTGTGTCGTGGAATGTTTTCAGTCCAGTAGACCAAAAAAAGTAGTCGTTTATTTAAGGAGCTTTAAATGGTACATATTTTAAAACCATGTGCCAAAAGTTAAAACTCGGAAGATCTGTAAGGATTCCTGTGTAATGCTGAGAGATAGTTATCAGTTTCTTATTCACTCCTTATTTCTCATCCTTAAGCAAAGTTGTGATGTGACTTGTTAGTTTTCCACTCCACCTTTCTTAAGTTCTACAATGAAGTTTAAAGTTCATGTATAATGACTTTAGAACTCTGCCTTGAACTGCATGGACACATAATTAGATCTGCAGTCTCATTCTGAACCCTGAAATGACCAGGGGGTAGTCTGAGAGTTACCCTTGTAATTAGTCAATTCTGCAAGGCATTTAAATGTATTAATGTAGTTTAAGCTTTTGAAGAAAAAATTTTTATTGCCTTGAATCAAGGATTATTCTCTTTAGAATAGTCTTACTGGAATCCTATGTAATGGTTTCATCTCCAATACCAGAGGGAAAAGAGGTCTAGATTATAGTGTACAGTATTCTATTTTACAGTATTGTATTATATTCCTCAGTATTCACCATCCAAACCTGCTCTTCTTGCTTGAAGTCCCTCAGTGCTTGGAAGTTGAACATTAGTTGTAAAAAATGATCTGGTTAGTGGGTTCTCTGCAAGTTGGGAGCTTCCTGTAGACAATTGGTGGAGTGGACACTGACTTTTACACTTGATATATTTCTGTTAGTTACACTGCCTTTATCCTATAGTGTGTGACTAAGGGGTTGGGCCTCAGAGCCAGATTGGCTGGTTTTAAATCCTGGCTTTGCTTTAGAAGCAAGTTATTTATCCTCTTTGTGTTTCAAGTTTCTCAGCTTCAAAAATGGGATAATAGTGGTTACACCCTTAAGATGATACTAAACATTAAAAGAGCTAATACACCTGAAGTGCTTAGCCTGACACATAGTAAGCGCTCAGGAAATACTATTGCTGCTGCTGCTTTTCTTCAGCCTTTCCAAGGAACTAGTGAGCTGAAGAAGGACTTTGGGCTGATGGGACATTATTAGTGCGGATTAATTCCACTAAGATCCATTCACTTTTTGGGGGGCTCAGTGAGAGCTTATTCTCACTGTCCAGCCTTGGAAGCATGTAAGTTAGTTTTAAATAAAGCAGCTGGACCCTGAGCGGGTTTTTTGAGATGCTACTGGAGAGCTGCTCAGGTATCCCTGTTTGTCCTTGTGACTGAACCTTGGATTGTCTCCCTCGTGGTGGTGGTGGCTGCTGCTATTTTAATCACCTGTTTTTGAGTATGTGATTGTGTGCATTTGACTGTCATGTAATTAGCAAACTCTGCAAAGCATTTAAATGTATTAATGTAGGTTAAACTTGTCATGTGCTATTGTGAAAAATATTATCTATCAAACTATGTTTGATCAATATATTGCATGGTATTTCCAACATAATTACAAAATCACTTTCCTCTGAACATTATTTATTTTTTGTTTTGCTATTAATATTACATAGAGTGAAGTTAGTTTTGATTTGGTATAGTATTTCTTTTCAGCTTTCATGTAATATTCTTAGGGAAGTTTAAAAAATATTTTTTATTGATTTCAGAGAGGAAGGGAGATAGAAATTTCAGTGATGAGAGAGAATCATTGATTGGCTGCCTCCGGCACACCCCACACTGGGCATTGAGTCTGCAACCTGGTTTGTGTCCTAACTAGGAATCGAACTGTGACCTCCTGGTTCATAGGTCAAAGCTCAAACACTAAAAAGTTATTATTATTTTTTTAAATTAATGATTTTATGTATTTGTTCTTGATTTGCAGGGATCTGATAGAACATTGGATTGTAATACAGTGTTTTTAAATCAGTTTTAAAACTCTTGGTCTCAGGATCCTATTACACTCTTAAAAAATTATTGAGCACCGTAAAGAGCTTCTGAGTCTTCTCTCTTTTCTTAGTTAATGGGCTAAAGGGTTATCAAGGGTTATATAATAACAAGGGTTATATAATAACAAGGGTTATCTTGTTAATGTTTTCAGCGAACCAATTTTTGGTTTCATTGCTTTTTCCTATTCTCTATTTTACTTATGTCTGACATAATTAAAAAAAATGTTCTTTCTTCTACTGGCTTTGGTTTTAGTTCTCTTTTTTCTAGTTCCTTAAGTTGTAAAGTTAGGTTGTTTATTTGAGAGCTTCCTTCTTTTTAAATTTGTTTATAGCTATACATTTCCTGATGAGCACTCCTTTCCTGCATTGTGTAAACTTTGGTATGTTGTGGTTTTCTTTTCATCTGTCTCTTAAGTATTTCTAATTTCCCTTGTGATTTCTACTTTGCCCTTTGGTTGTTTAAGAAAATGTTATTTAATTTCCACAAATTTGTGAATTGTCCAACTTTCCTTCTCTACTGCTTTCTAAATTTATCCTATTGTGGTTGAAGAGGTGCTTTGTATATCTTACTATGTATGTCTATTTAAAAAAAAAATCTATTGAGACTTAATCTGTGGCCTGACCTATAATGTGTCCTAGACTGTCCCATGTGCACTTGAGAAGAATGTGCGTTCTGTTGGTAAGTAGGCTGCTTGTTCCCTGTATGTCTGTTTGGTTTATTGTGTTCTTTAAGTCCTCTGTTTCTCATCTTCTTTCTGGTTGTTCCATCCATTATTGAGAGTAGGGTACTGAAGCATCCAAGTAGTATTGTAGAATTGTCTGTTTTCCTCTTTAATTCTGTCAGTTTTTGCTTCATGTATTTTGATGGTCTGTTATTAGGTGCATGCCATTTATACTTGTTAAATTTTATTGCTCTCTTGAACCTTTTATTAACATATCCTTTGTCTCTTAAAACTTTTTTATTTTTTATTTTTGGATCTAAAGTCTGTTTTTTCTGATAGAATAGCGACCTCTGTTTTCTTTTGATTACTGTTTGCATGGAATATATTTTTCCATCCCTTCACTTTCAAAAGTGAATGTCTAAAGTGAGTGTCGTGGAGAGCATATTGTTGCATCATGGCTTTTAAAATTTTTTATCCATTTTGTTAATCTCTGCCTTTAGATTGGAGAGTTTAATTTATTTACATTTAAGATATTACTGATAAGGAAGAACTTCTGTCATTTTGCTATTTTTTTTTTAATATGCCTTGTAGCTTTCTGTGTCCCTCATAACTTGTGTATTTTGATTCTTATTGGGGATATTAGTGGGACCTGACTTTGGCTAAGGTACTTTCCTTAAAACAAAACTTAAGTCAATTTAATGGATCAGAGTTATGTTAGAGGCAATGGATGTGTTTGTTTCAAGGTAAATTTTTAAATCTCACCTATCACCTATATAGATGTAGGAATTTTGGAATATGTTTAAGCTTAAAATTAGTCATCTGGAATCTGAATTGATGGAAGAGTAATTTTAAATAAACTAAATTGAAGTGTAGTGGGATTCTACTTCCCCAACAATAAGACCCTATAACTTTTAGTATAATTAATGAGTCACATAGCAGAACAAATGAGACCTTTATAAGTGCCAGAATGTCTTTTGTGGAGAAATGTGTGAAACATCCAAACTTGTGTTCTTAATGAGGATGCATGATGAGGAAAGGTAAAAAGTATAATCTTTTCATAGGTTTATTCTTACCCACTTTTTTTTTTTTTATCAAGTTAATGACAGTAATATATGTGAAATAAATTTGCCTGTTTACAGTTGGGCTAACACATTCAT